TCTAGTTACTTATATAGAGTTATATACGTCGATGAGGGGTCAACAAACAGTAACACTGTCGAGGTTTCTCTTCATCTTTGGTTGGTTACCGAAGCCTTGCCCGTTCTTCACCGCTCAGATCGCCCGTTCACCTGCCTGTGGACACAACCAGGTTGTTTCTTTCCTGGCAGGGCTGGCAGTCGGTTCGAAAACCGAAAGCTTCAAAGAACATCAAGAACCATAAAGCCAGAAAGGCTCATCCAATGTATATATATAATTATATATAGGTATGTAAGAAACCTGCAAACAACTTGTTGTTTTGATCTTTTTGAATGGGAAGCGGAAGTGTCCATAGCTCGATTTGAGCTGAATTCAGGTGAGAAAGCCTCCTCCTCCTCCCTGCAAGGAATGAGACTCATATGGAATAATCACAGTTTGGTTGGTGCTTTAGCCATCCCATCCTTAGAACATCGGTCACATGACACCATCGAGAAATGGTGGACACAGGCTCTGGCTCTGGCTCTGGACGCGGTTTACTAGACATCTCCTCGATTCAGCCGACCGAACATGTCGGGACTGCCAATCCATGACACTTCATTCCAGGCCCCATCTGCACGTGGTGTCAGGAACTCCCTGTAGCTCCGAGCGGCTACCCTGTAGTAAAGAAACATATATTTCAACTTTTTTAGCTCATTTGCTCCGTCCGAAGCACTAGCTAGTCTTTAAGGTTTCAGCGCCTTTGCTTCTTTCAGCTGCCTGCCTCTAGCAAGTGAAGCCCTATCCCATCCCGCGCTTGACGAAAGGCTGCCACTGCACGGCCGCCGCCTCAGGACCGAGTGAGGCCGACCACTGTTGACAAAGCTCCAAGGCGGAACAGGAAATCTCTCATGTTGCTAAGACAATCGGAGTCGAGGATTGAGTCGATCCAAATGTGAACTTAAAGCTGTCAGTATGTGCCACATGAACGGAAGACCTTTGATGCACAAGCAATGCAAACTGCTGATGAAGCATGACATTCAAGACTGATCATAGTACGGTCCGGTTACATGCCTACCCAATTAATTTGGCTGAAACTAGAAAACAATTACAGTAGAAACACAACAAATGTTAAGATATGTGAGGGCTTCTTGATAGTTATAGAAGGAGCAACAAGGACCTTGGACTGGAGATATTGTGTCTTCTTGCAACTTGTAAGCAATGGAAACTGCATGAAGAGGCACTCAAAATTCACATTCAAACATGATTCTGCCGTCTGCCGTCTCTGAGAATCTTCCTACTTCACACCTGCCGGTTTGTTTCCCAGTGGATTGGTTTGACAGGGCACCTTCGCCTGCTGCTATGGACCAAACCTGGCAGAATGTCACTGTTGCTGAGGCAAACATCTTATTGACACCAGAACTACTGACTACGGCCACCTGGTAGAATACCCTTGACACCGGTGCACGAACTTCCCTACTAAACATTACTAAAACACGTATTGGGAGTCTGACTACTGGCTATCGCAATGCATGTCAAGCGAGCCCCTTGAGAGCAAGCACTCTACACAATCTCCTATCTCCTCCTCTCTGCTCTTGAACAAGAGGAATACCTGGAACACTTCTCAGACTGGAACACTAGAACTGATGTCTTTACAGGAAACCCACCGCGTGGGGGGTTCGGATAAGATCCGTTCCCACAAGGTGTTGAAGAATTCCCGCCTGAGTGCCCAGTAAGGCTGCCTGAGCGGACAAGGGGTGTAAGCACGTAGTCTACCTGATGAAAAGGGGTGGCGGCACCGATAAAATGTATTGTTTCTACCAAGCAGGTCTGACAATCCACATGAACATCATGAACAAGAAGCTACTAGGGGCTCCTGGCCTTACTACTAGGAGCAAGGACGCAACAGTCTTAAAAAGAACTTGCATAGGTTGCCGGCTCTAGGACATCGACCTCGGAAAGTGAACCAAACGCACAGTCAAATCTACGCATTGGCACATCAGTGATCAAATCTATTTGTGCCCCCTGCAACATGGAATTGGCATGAACAACCTGATCGCCCTAGTCATCCTAGTGAGGGTATCCTCAACGGATTGCTGCTTGCTTTGAAGAAGCCTTAAATGGCTTCAATTAGAAGCGAATTAGCTAGCAGCTGACATGTATGTGTCTAAGCCCTTTGTTCCTTTTAGGCCGTCCCCTATCGGTTTCCAAGGAAAATCAATAAGCCCATAATTGAACGAAACCTCTGAGACAGTTCATCGATCATTCATTCATCGAAACCATCACTCGCCATACCGTACCTCGGTTAGGTGCCATTCCTCGAAATGGTTTCCTTAGCATGTTGGACCTCCCCGGAAGCTTAGACTCCTCGGCAGCCCGCGCGCTCCGACCGATGAACAGAGGCCTCTGAGCAGCTGAAGCTCAGCGGCAAGAAGCTACCGAAGCGGCACAGTAAGCTCTCCTCGTCCGTCGCTTCTTGTCCAAGCGTGTTCCTTTTCTTTTCGGATCCCTTCATCCCCCCAAACGGATGACGGCGCGTGACAGAAAAGGGGCAAGAGATTTGACGGATCTGAAAGCAACGGTTTGTATAGATGTGGGAACCTTCGATTGGCAATTCGATGCAACTCATGCAGCTGCTGGAGTTGGTGTCCAATTTGGAATGCCAAAGCCTCCCATCAATGTAAACGTGTATATCTATATATGTCACATTATATTACAGTATATACAGGCTCCACGCCAAAAATCCCAACGTCAAAAAGGCTTGGTTGCCTGTCACAGAGGAAACTGTGGTCCATGCAGTAACAAGGGACTATCTACAAGAGATCGATCTTTGTAGTTCATCAAATTTGGCACCAAATGGAAAATTATGCTTGTTCTAGATTGGAGGGCTCAAAAGTCAAGAAATGAGAACTGTTCTGAATGAAAAGGGCATGGAGAAAACTGCTTCCATGCTGAGCACAACATGACATCGGTTGGGTCCCAAGGCTGACTTCTGTGGCAATGAGGCCTGCAGGACGAACAAACATGACTCGCAACTCGCGACTCACATCCTGGTTTTACTACTTCACATACCACCAGTCACAGATCTGCCGATCCGTCCTCTGTGGATGCAAAGCCTAGACCGCAACGTGGAGTGCACGTCTGGCCGTTCTTGATGACCTGCCGACGAATTCGGGGTTTTGGGTCGTTGGAAAGGGTTTCTTGAAAAGGAAACATTAATCCCTCCACGAAACCATCCATCTCTCATGGCCCTGATGTCCGACCAAACAAGGAACCTCACAGACCACTACAAAGGGTCGTTTTCACCATGGTCCATGGTCCATAGCAGCAGCAGTGAAAGTGCATTTGAGGCCTACAAGAGTTCGGAAATATGCATGGCAATTGCAAGCTCAGGGCGAACGATCTTCTGGGGGTACAGTGACTTCTTCCGCCGGGAGAAGTCTGCCCCATCCTTGATGGTGCCAGGCCTCTCCCTGAGCACATGCAGGGCTCTCTGCATTGAGGATGCCATCTGCAGAGCAGCAGTTGACTTGCAAGCTAAAAAACATGGATGACAAAAAATGTAAGACATATCATAAAGAAAAGTGTCTTTCTTACATGTTTGCATGCTCCAAGCGTAGTCGCAGCCCAATGTAATGGCAAACAACTTGATGTTGCCAAGCGCTCGGCGATTGAACCTTTGTAGACTTAGATCTTTACAGCCCCAATATGTGCACATGCACAAAGCACCCCAAAAGAACAACACGCAACCATGTTTTCGAACGCGTTATGAAGCCGACTCCTCGCACTGTCCCCGAACACTCACTGTCAGGATCGCTCCGAATGGGCCGTCGTCTTAGGACTTGGTGGTGGACCGTCGTCGGTGCGGCAAGCGGGTATATAATATTATATAACTAATATATAATATATATATATATTTTTTATAATAGTATATAATGTTATATCTTAATGCTACTACCAACCCTAGTACAAAGCTCTGCCAGTTCATGAGCTGAAATGGGCAACCGTCTGCCGCTCCCGTTGATCCTCCATTCATCCCACCGTCTGCCGATCTATTACTGTACGTCCAGTTCCAAGACATCAGGGACTCAATCTGGATGTCTTGGGACTCTATTTTGGTGGGTCCCTCGCGAAGAACTGCTCAAAGACATCCAGATCGTGTCAGTCTGGTCTCTTCGGCCGAATTTTGAGTGCTCAAAAGGAAGTGCGGACCCTCACCTTCGCAAGATTCGCGGATCCTCGCGAATTGGTTCAAGCGTTCGTTGGATTCTGGAACGAGGGAACTCCAGACATGTTGCACAGTTCAATCAAAACTTAGGTAAGACTCTTCTCAGTCATCGCGAAGACCAAATTGCGCGTGTGTTTTGCTCAGTCGCGAATCGATGGGAACCAATCGAAGCACCAACGGAGTCGTTGGGACGCGGTTTCAAAGGCGAAGATCCACGTGGGTTCACCCACCTGGTGCTCGGCAGTCTTGTGGTAAGCAAGAGAAAGAGGAAGGACTCAGCACCTTGGATGCGAGTGGGTTCAGCTGAACCCTAACCAGTGAGATGCTGCGTGTGAAATGATGTGAGATGCAAACTGGGACGAGTTCCCAGCTGACCTGCGGATGATGAAAAACAACCCAGGATCAAGTTCAAGGACCACACCTAATACAGTGGTTTCGATGGCACAATCTCCAAGGTCAAAAGACATCTTGGGGTGCCATCTATTCTGAAAACACTGTATTCCTCCAACCTTCCGGGTGCCAAAACGAGCCGAGTATCGCAGGCTTTTCCGATTGGATATCGAAAATTGCCGTGCGACGTGTGCGCCAGTCGCGGTGCCTTCTACCGCTGAATTTGTACAACGTGCAACACAAAACCGTCCTCTTCCACGTCTGCCTTGAGCCGGGGTCGGATGTTACCCGACACGTGCTTCGAGCTCTGTCCTTCCGGTTTTCAGGATGGATCCTCCAATTCATTGTTCACAACGAACCACAGGGCGTGATCCAAGTCAATTTGATTGGCCAAATCTGTCCTCTACTACCTGAGCTATACAAAAAATCATGGATATCCTTCATGTGAGGACTCTCCCACAGCACTGCTCGCAAATTCGTCCGGCCCGCCCGACGCAAAACGGCGTCTTTCGAAGAAGTTCACCACGCGCCAGGCTCGCCAGGGCAAGTGGAGGAACGACCGGAACATCTCCCGTGCTGCTGTCTGAAACAAGGAGAGCTTCTCGCCTGGGGGAAAGACATGACAGGCACATGGCACATGAACTGAGGATGTCCGCCTTCTATTGGGGAATTTATACATGGACCAATATGGGGCCTCCGAAAAGAAACACATGTGAGAGTTGTTTCTGAATTCGTACAGAGAGTGGGGATGGAGCTAGGCAGCGTCTGTTCTAGTTCCCCACCTGCCAGGTGAGGGTTGTTAGATTTTATCACAGCTGTTCTTCCTCCGCCTCCGCCTCCGCCTCCGCCTCGGCCTCCGCCTCCGCCGCCTCCTCGTCCTCCTCCTTCCTCCTTCCTCCTTGCTTCCTTCCTCGCCAATCTGCTTCGCCGATCTTGTCTGGCCAGCTCCGGAGCGCAGTGTGCACCCCTGAACCTCAACCGCAAGGATCCCCTCGCAGTGTGCACCCCTGGACCTCAACCGCAAGGATCCGATCGCAGTGTGCATCCCTGGACCTCAACCGCAAGGATCCGATCGCAGTGCGCACGCCTGGACCTCAACCGCAAGGATCCGATCGCAGTGTGCACCGCTGGACCTCAACCGCAAGGATCCGATCGCAGTGTGCACCCCTGGACCTCAACCGCAAGGATCCGATCGCAGTGTGCACCGCTGGACCTCAACCGCGAGGATCCGATCGCAGTGTGCACCGCTGGACCTCAACCAGATAGTTTGCCAGATAAAATCCACAAACACACAACAAACACACAACCACAAACATACACACAACACACAACCACAAACACACACACAAACACACAACCACAACCACACAACCACAAACACACAACCACAAACACACAACCACAAACACACAACCACAAACACACAAACACACAACCACAAACACACAACCACAAACACAAACACATCCACAAACACAACCACAAACACACAACCACAACCACAAGTACAAACACACAATCACAAAGACACAACCACAACCACAACCACAACTACAAACACATAATCACAAAGACACAACCACAACTACAAACACATAATCACAACCACTACCACTACCACAAACACAACCACAAACACATCCACAAACACACAACCACAAACACAACTACAAACACACAATCACCAAGACACAGCCACAACCACAACTACAAACACACAATCACAAAGACACAACCGCAACCACAACCACAACTACAAACACACAATCACAACCACTACCACAACCACAAACACACAACCACAAACACACAACCACAAACACACCATCACAAACACACGACCACAAAC